TATGTTGATTTTTGGACTTGATCGGCATTTTAATTTCGGCGAAGGAAAAGCAGTATATTTAATTAATGAGGCTTTTGAGTATCCAGTGTGTCCATAACCATCAACTTTTTCCAATGAAAATAATATGCTTTCTTTATAGTTCATGATAGTGTTAGTTGCGAAATTAATGTTTTTATAAGTGCGGTTGGAGTAAATATGAAAAACTCTATTGACTATGTATGACTGTTTGATCAACCTGCTATTTAAATCCTTCCAAATTTCTTTATTAAGCTCTGAAAAGATTAATGCGACATGCGAATTGCCGATTTAAATTAATATTGTTTCGTTTGAAACACATATTTTCGGGTTACTTCCGACAAGCCCTAAGTTAGAAGCCAAGAAAATAAAATATTAGAATTTGTTGTCAGCTACATAAATTAACATATAAACCGTATAAGATTCCGAGAAAATAAATTTTCCTATTTTTGATGCCTCATATGGCTCAGAAGAAAAATGTGTTTTATGTTGATTTAAATGAGACTGGTCACCTCACAATGTATGTTCCAATTCTATTTGACGGTTCCGAAAGCTAAATGGTAAAAAACGCGAAACCTCAATCCGCAAATGTTTTGCAAGAAAATGTTCTAGGAATCCATTATTTTCTTTGCGATCCATCACACCAGCTCACATCATAATTCGTCCAACTCTTTCAGCTAATGACCTTTCGGCAAACAGGAAAACCCTCCGGAAAGGCCAAAGGGTAAACAAAGCTTCTGTGACGTCACTATATTTCCGAATGACGTTGCTGGAGATATGGGGGTGAATCGATGTGAAGTAAATATGCCGAAAGATTTTTACCCTTGGATGGATAGTAGGCCGAAAATAGAAAATCCGATAAAAATAATCTTTGACGATAGTAGGCGAATAACTGAATGGACAGATGGGAATCCATCTTCTTAAAAAGTCTCCGTATAAAACTCTATTGTTCTGGATAGTTTTAAAGCAAGGAAGTCCAGGTAATTATCAGCTTCATTAAACGCTCCATAAGCGATGAGATTATTAATTGAATTTTGGTGCCAAAATGGGGATCATCAGAAATCCGTTAATCATGCAGAATATGTATTTTCAGTCGATTTATTTTCGTATTATAACTGCTATACTATAGTTGGATAAAGTGTTGCGTAGCGTGTATAAATAATAATGCATATAATAAATGTTGGATAAAGTGATGCTTATAACTAGTTACTATTCCATAGTAACTCATATTGTATAAAGCAAACCGATTGCTCATTAATTAATAGTGAACGATAAAACAAATAGAAATAAAACTTAGGATTCTTATAATACGTTTTCTTTGCACTAAACCTACAAATAAAAATATTATAAAAAATTCTAAAATTATGTTTTTTTTTCTAAATTTAAGAGCATCATTACCTAAATCGCAATCAGAATGCTGTAAATCATCTCAACGATTCCTTTAGAAGACGGGTATTAAACTAATATTTTGAAAACTTAATACGGAAAGCATAAACAAACTAGCTCTTAAAATTTCTTTGGCAAAGATTAATCGAGTCACATATTATCGGTTGATTGTGACAGGTTGTGGACAACAAACATTCCTACCCAAAGCGCGTGTGATAAATGGCACATTTTTATTGATCAAAGAAGCTGAAAAAGTGAATTAAGAAATCCATAAATTATCAAAAGTATCTATGTCTGTTTTTCTTACACTGTTACTTATGATAATAATCTAGAGAATATCTATACTACAGATCTAGGAAAATATTGGAGAATAAGGACAAAGATCTATTTATCGCCTCAGTTTCTTCAAATGAACTGTTAATATAAAATACATATAAAAAAATAACCCGCTTATATAATGGCTTGAATTAATTTTCATTTCTCGGTTTTATCTCCACATCCAATCCATCCTCGGTCAAAAATAGCAGGAAAAGATCCGAGCAAAGGAGCTTCCACATACATAATTTGCCAGTAAATGGGGATTTATTTTAAAACATTTTTATTGTTTTATATAATGTTGGCTTCGACCTTTAATATTTTCCGAGGCAACTTTTTCCGACATTCCACTTGCTCGATTTGCATTTTATGCCTCGTTTTTCGGTATTTATGGAAGGGTGATTCCTATCTGCGAGGATGGTAGCTATTTTTAGATTTAGACCCTGACACTGTTGCTGAAATAAATTGCAATTTATCCCGGATTATTACGAAATAAAGATGCTTCCATTTGCGATTCAAGATTATTTTTGAAGGGTATTCACAATAATGGTGTTAAAACATAAAATATTCACTGCTTAACTTAATTTATATTCGCATTACAGAAAAAAAAGTGACGACACTGCAACTATTTACGTTTCTTTATATCTTCAAAAACTACCTACATTTAAACGCCTCAGCTGGAAACAGCACTACTTTCTTCTTTATTAGAAAATCTTGTTAATTGCAGCTCAAAAAATATTTAAATTATACCTACTAGTGGGGATTTTATTAATATTGTAATGCATCGACAATGTTAGTTCGACATTATCACATTGACTATGTTTACGGAGCTTCCAATCCTAAAACAACCAACAAGTGGGACGGTACTGTTTTAGAAATTCGAATATTTTACAGCACTTCAGACTTAAATTTCACACAGAAAATTAATTAGAATTCGTCTTAATCAAACAAAACATTCCACATACAAGTGATTGTTGGTAGGAGCTAAACACTATTAAAAAAATGAAGAAAGCTATGACTTTCTGTTCTGGAACGTGTTAGAAACGAAGTTATTCAAACCAAATTGGCGCGCCAACCACCGGACGAAAATAAACAATCGTAAAAGTTAATAGAAAGTTGTTCTGGAAAATTGATTTTTGTTTCAAAAATTGTGGTACAGTTGATTTCGTCAAGTATTTTCCGTTGAACTAATTGAAGCAGATGAGAAAAAAACCGTGTAAAGAATTGCATACACAGCAATTATTTGAGAAGTAATTTTTACAGGAATAAAGAAAGATGATAAAAATATTTAAGATTGTGCAGTTTCGGAAAATACTAATTGGATGCCCTTGATTTATTTATGCGGAATAATAATAAATAATAATAATAATAATTGACGAAATTAACTGTCAGGTATAGAATAAGGAAGAGATTTTGCGGATGACTCCAGTCCAAGGGCAGATACATGGGGGTCATAGGGTCACAGGGGTCGATCTTGTGGTGGGTTTATGTCGACTAACGATAATGTATCTAATTTCATACAACAAAATACTGAATTTCTACTACATGAGCCTCCTGACGCTGTATATATTGCTGATCAATGTATGATATTCAAACTTCGCATTCTGGGGGTCAAAACTGTCCCAATTTCTCACATATGTGGTTACGACTGAATCGAATTTGCAATTATTTCTCAAACGATGCCAAAACTGGGGCTTGAGAAACTTCGAAAAAAGCTTGAGCCGATTTTGAAACTCAACAAAAACACGCAAATCTAAAACTTGTTGAAATCAAGCCTTTTTGAGATAACTGCCAACACTTCCTTATCGATGGTTCACTTTCTAAAAAGACCATTTATTTCGCTCTGAAATGATGTAAAATTGAGCGTTCTTGCTCATTTGGCTTCCGAGAAATGAGCAAAAACGGGAAGGAAAACATTAAATTTTGGCATAATCTTGCACCCAAGTGTATGACATTCAAATTTCGCTTTCTGGGTTGAAACTGCTCGAATTTCCTCACTTCAATTCTTTATCCAACTATACCAAAGTCAAACAGAACTACATAAACTCGAAAAACCGTTCTCTACGTTTTAAAACTAATGAAACCACGTATGCACAAAGCACATTTACCTTAATAAAACATGTTTGCCTGTCTGTCTAAGCGGATAACGAATTCCGCAGAAGCTGTTAAAAGTAAATCAGTCAGAAATCCAAGAGAACTGACTGAACCCAACGTGATACTGAACCCGAACGTATTGGCTAATCGGACATCAGTGATCCTCGAAAGATTTCAATCGAAAAATGTTTTCGACTAATTCTCCAACCACCTTGCTATGTTACAAATGCTTTCGTATGCACCGACCTGAGAATCCCTACTATCAAGAAAGAAATAAATTGACTCGCTTTAATATCAAAATCGCCAGAGTGAACATCCTAAAGAATTATCTGGAGATTTGTAATACCTGTTTGATATATAAGAATACGCATATAACTCTTCAGTCATTTATTGAAACAGTATCCGTCAAATATAAAATAATTCAATGGAAATTTATTTTATATTCTACCTTCAGCGGTTCATATCCAATTTTTTTTACAATCACATATATCATGTTTTTGACAGGCAATTTATTTGCGTAAACCCAAAGAATATTAGATAAAATTTATCGGCGGCTTTTATATGCATGTGTGCTAATGCTTGAAATTTCCTTCAGCTCCAAATCATTGGTTATTTACAACAGTAATTTACTGTTTATATAATAACTGATTATTAGTAAGTAAGTCACAACATTCAGCAGCATTGTATAATTCTTTATTGCTTTTATGCCTTAAATTGTCTATTTAGGGCGCAATAAATAGAATAGCACAAGACGATTAATTGTGAAAGTATCTCCAACAAATAAAATGCACATTTCAAGCATGCGAGATTCGAATAACATCAACCAAATTTTATATATGATATATCCATGATTATGATATACCCAGCAACTTAGTTAATCTATGGATATACCCAATCGGTCTTTCTGCCCTTCAACAGTCAATATTGAGATAATGTAAGTTTGGTTTATGCTTAGGGTAACAGAACTAAATGGAACCATATTGGATTTGAAAACGTTTTATGATGTCAACGTGCTGGTAGTTTTGCTTAATCGACGAAGAATATTCGTTTTGCACAAAAAAATTAAAAACTGAATCTTTGAAAATAGTACTAAATTCCAGGATTGTTCAGTAGTTGTTAGTGGTGAATCAACTAAGAACAGTGGATGGAATTTGCAATCTGAATGACACTTTAAAGAAAAAACTAAGTACTTTTTCTAAAAAAACATTTATTTACTATATAAACCCGGTTTATTTGCCTTTAAAACATTTAAAAATCACTTTAGCCTGCAAAACTAATCGAGAAATAGCGGCTTGAACTATTGTTTGAATAATTGCTTCTGCTGGTAACGTGAACACTAGCTGGACTAATAATCCTTCGTAAAACTTTCCCACTGAGACTTCCCTTTATTTCTCCTTTCTCCTTCGCCCACGATCACCTATAAAGGAAACGATTCATTCTCTGGCAAAAACATTTTAGTCTGGTAAGTAAAGACGGAAATAGCTTGATTGGTTTCTTGGTTAAACCTATAAATAAATATTTTGCATTCGGTTTTCTAAGCCTGAAAACAGCAGGGAGTATTTGGCCATCAACTAAATTACATGTTATTTTTAAAAGTGCTTTTGTCTAAAGAAAAAATCTATCAAGACAATAAATATCCATAATTCCATAAAAATGATTCAACGTGATTTACAATTCTCCATTGGGTGCAGTATGGATCTTGAACAGAAGTGCATACATTCCTATGCATATTTTAGTAAAGAGGGTTTATATGTTTGTAGTTTCCACACAGTATCCTTGGAACTTTATCGCTTTCTCCTTCATCCAGGACTAAAACGACTGGAGTATTTTTCCGGTTGAACGATGACTGGTTCGCGCTGGATCTGTTACACTATTATTCTATTTCTGACCTAACGATTGACGTCATATTTGTCAATATTTGAATTCCACGACGTCACTAGATTGCTGTACAGTAGTTTAATATGATTGTTGAATATCGTGTTTATATAGACTGCAATCTGGGCCACGAGCATGAAGGAGAAATTACGAAAAAGGTAAATAAATAAACGGAAAAGCAACTGGCGTTTCAAACATCCGGCATTATTTTCCTGGAACTAGAATAAGAATTATGATTGAGTTATTATCGAGCCGAATCGTTTGTTGTTATTCACTATCCAGTTTATCCAGAACGAGATCGGTAGCAGCTTGCTCTCGAAACGTTACTGAGCTTGAATTGCTTGCCTACATGACTAAGTGGTTATAGTTCGTTAATCATTTTTTCTTTAAGAATAATAAATTTTTCACATTTTCGGTAGTCTAAACTTAATTATACGCTGCAGTAAGAATCAATAATCAAGTGTAAGACGTAAGTAAATGACGAAACCAATAAATTCTAAACGACCATCCGCACAGATGAGTTGAGCAAATTAAACTTACGAATTAACCAGGGCGAGAAAACTGTTTTGCGTGGCTATGGAAATGGACAAACTGTGACACTTGGAACAACGTCCATGAAATTAAAAATTGACGATGTGGAATCCACAATAAAGGCTCACGTAGTTCCGAACCATGTTCAGGAAACACCAATCCTGCTGGGAAGGAACTTCCCGGAAAATTCGAACATCCTAATTGTGTGAGTTTCAGTTTTGGAGTTTTTCCGTGAAGTTCCTTCCCAGCAGGATTGGTGTTTCCTGGACATGGTTCGGAACTGCGTGAGCCTTTATTGTGGATTCCACATCGTCAATTTTTAATTTTATGGACGTGGTTCCAAGTGTCACAAAGTAGCCTTTTTAATACTTCTTATTGGTTTAACATTCAAGATAATGTTAAAGAGTGAGTTTTCTCACAGAGTAGCCTTTTGAATACTTCTTGTTGGTTTAACATTGAAGACAATGTTAGTGAGTTTTCTCACAGAGTAGCCTTTTCAATACTTCTTATTGGTTTAACATTGAAGATAATGTTAGTGAGTTTTCTCACAGAGTAGCCTTTTGAATACTTCTTATTGGTTTAACATTCACGATAATGTTAATGAGTTAGTGTTTCTTCATAGAGTAACCTTTTCGACTTCATTTGAATATTCACTTTCTTTTCTTCTATTAAACTGGCTTTCTTTAAAACTTCTTTTAGTTAAAGTTCAATACTGTTCAAGCTTCATTTAAAAGCATTAAAGTTAATAGAGAAGTACCTAGTACTGGCTGTAGTCATACAACAGTACTTGAGTAAGTTTTTGAATAATGATGTTAGGGACGGATACTGGCTGTGGATGTCCCGCAGTACCTGGGCTCTGAACCCATTGTGAGAGAGAACGCTAGTAGGCGGGTACTGGCTGTGGATGACCCGCAATACCTAGTGGCCAATTGAGATAGTGTTTATCATGGTAAATGCCGGTGACTAGTAAGGCTTTTCCTGAGCAGGTATGTAGCGCGCAGTACCCTTAATACCTTTTAAAAACTCAGGTTTAGCAAGGCTTTTCTTGGGGAGGTATTTCGTGCGCCGTACCTTTAATACCCCTTAACAACCCAAGTTTAGCAGTGGCAGGATGCAATTCCGTTTTTTTTTGGGGGGGTTCAGAGATAGATTGATAAAACTCCGATAGAGTAAAGTTACTACGGTAAATTAAATTATAGGTACATAACGGTTGACGCCAAGTGATGCACTCTGCGTGAGTCGCTTCTTGTTTGAGACGTTTGGCCCTTGTCGCTGATTCTGAGATGTTTTAATGATTATCAAGATAATAATAATCTAAATCTAATTCTTGTTGAACTGGTTACTCAATTACATTTTCTAAATTGATTTCAGATGTATTTGCCATTACACACATTGTCTACCGTTTGGAAGTGTAAATATATGTTTTCTTAGTAGTTGATGTTTACTTGTTCTAAGTATAAACGAACGCCCCTACACAAGTATGGATTAAACAATATCTAAAAAAATACATCGAAAATGTTTAAAAATATATCTCTGTCTAGTCGAATATAAATCATCTATGTGGCTTTCGAAAAAGGCGATTTTTCCTGCAGTGTACAAATCTGGAAGAAAATTGTGCAAATATTCACATAAGTACTTTGAAAAATAGACGATAATATCTACTTTCAACACGATTTTCACGGCCCTTGAATACTTGAAAGCGGAAGAAAAACAAGTAAAGCGGCAATTTTTTGAGAATTCCACATTATAGAGCAACTGAAAGATGTTGAATCTTTGTTAACAAATTTAAAGCTGCCAGTTCCATATAAGGAATGCTACTCCTAATAATTATCTTAAACTTTGGTTTGCAGTTCCAGATATTCTAATTATACTCTAAAAGATTGCAAGTTGAAAATTTTGTTTATGTAATGAGAAAGATTCAATAATACCTGTATCTTGTAGCTAATGATAATTAATGTCGGCATATTTATTTCTAATTGTATTTTCCTGTTGTTAAAAATATTACTTATTTAGTTTTTCTGTCTTATTTTCAGATCTCTGATCCCGACCGACCAGCGGACAATTACCGACAGCTAAGTCTTCTTTGAAATGATGTAAGTGTTTAAATTAGAAAGTAACTAAGATCTGCCTTAAAATTTTTTAAAAGCACAAGTCTTATAATAGAAAAACCGTACTTGATTGGTTGCATAAATGGAGAATATGTTGCTCTTAAAAAAATGTTACATTGCGATTTACGTATTTTATGTTTGTTTCTGGTTTCTTTCGATGAAGCGAAGTTGTTCGAATTTTTGGCGAATGTTTTTTGGCGTTAACATAAAACCTAGGTTTTGGAGGAAAGTGGTTTCGACACTTTCTAATAGCGACTTTCAGCCAGCGGTGAAGACTAATTTTTATTTCATTATTATCAGTTATTAGTTTTTATTATCAGTTATTAAAAAACCCTCTGTTCATTTGTCATCAACTACTAAAATTTCCCTTCGTTCTGAATTTAACGATGGTATACATCGTATTTCGTGCATTTTAGGCTTTGATTGAGTTTAAACTAGTTTTTTTAAATTAGTCTTCAAAAAGATTTGAACCTGAACCTAATCGATCAATTAGGGAATAATTATTATTAAAATTGACAAAGAAGATTAACCATAAAAACAAAAACCAATTTAATAAAAAATTAAAGTTCGTCATATTTTCAAAACGATTGCCATCTTTTTACCATGGGTATTAAAAATCTCAATTTCTTGAACTTACCAATATTTGAAACTTAACTTTCATCAAACGACATTATTTTTCGATATGGACAATGTTCTGTTTCTTGAAATTTTCTAATCTACCAACGCATAAAACTGCAAACGTTCTCAGGCAAATCCTGTGAATTGGCTCACAATACTTTTTTTCTATACTTTCCCCTGGATTCTTTTAATGTTGATTTTTGTTTCTGAATTCATCGTTTTATTTCTGATTAGTTATTAGTTAGTAACTTGCTGAGAGCTTTATTGTGCAAGTGTCTCTTTTCATTATACTTATTTGTTGAAAAACTGGCACTCTTTGTGAGTTGTGAAAAAGAATCAATACAATTTTTTCCGAAGTTTTTCTTCAAATGTGAATATTTGGCGTCTTAGTAATCGCGCGATTTTTGTTTCAGAATTCTTACAATTTTTTACTATTTTTATTATTTTTTGAGCTTTCAAACGGGTGCTCTGGTAAACAGGAGTTTTAGAAAAGAATGCACTTTTGGAAAGAAATAATCAGTACAACAATGCACTTAAGTCGACATTTTGCTTAAATGTGAATGTTTCGGATCTTAGTAGTCCCGAGTAACTTTTGTTTGAGTTATTACAATTTTTTTGTGATTTATATTATTTTTAGACCTTTCATGTAAAGACATGAAAGTGGCGTTTTTAAAAGTAAAAAAGGCTACTTTTAAGCAAAAAAAATGCCAAAGCAATCATCTTTACGGTAACATAATTTTGTGGTTACAGTTTTCCTCCCGCTTAAAAAAATACTTTGAATTTATATTTTTTTTATTAATTAATTAAAGTCAGTTCAGGTCTGTCAACGACTTAATTGCTCAACTGTGTTACCATTTAGAAAACCTTCTATAATTTACGGTTTTAAAAATCCTCATATTGTTCTTCATCTTGCGCGCAGGGTATTTTGTTACCGTAAATAATGATAAATATGATCATTGATCGTTTTATTTCATTCCATATTGAAATAAGATCGGCATGAGTTCAGAAAAAATCAATATTCTTTTATTTGGCTACGATTTGATATCAAAATTGTGTCATACCCTGCAGGTAGGATCCGAACAAAAAACTTCAAACTTCTACTAGTTCAATTATTTTCCTACATCATTAGTTTAATTATTTTCGCGTTGTTTATTAGCTCCGGTTTTTTTTTAGTTCATCGTCCTTAGAGGTTTTCATATTATAAGATCATAAATCATTTACCAACAAAACCTATAACTTCCTCTCTATATACGAAGTGCTTTGTCAAATGCAGATTTCCATAAAGTTGTATTGTAACTGTTCAACAGTATTCTGAACAGTTCGTTTTGTCTAGACAGCAATTTAATAACAACATACCAGGCTTAACCATCCATTAAACTTATACTAAAAGCAGAACTTTTGTTTTCGATCGCAAATCCTCGAACTGCATTAAATGACGCGAAACAAACGTTAGTTAGCATATTTATTACGTTGTTGATGGATTTTAGGAAAATGTGATGATCATTATAAAAATTGTATGACTTTACTTGAAACGTAATTTAGATTTAAATATTGTAGGGAATTCAGTGATTCTGTGATAAAATTTAAACCGTAGTATTCAATACACAAACGGTATAAAATAAACGAAATGGCTTTATTAATCTAACAAATAATGTTGAGGCCTTAGGATATAATTTTATATAAACTTTTCTTGGTATTCGTATGAAAACAAGTGTTCTACTATTCACGATGGAAATTCCACCCTATTTAAAGGAAAATTCGAATACTTACAAAATCATGGAGATTTTCGACGAATTTTCTGAACCGTATTTCATAGTTAAATTCAAATAAATATTTGACTAGCATGAAATAAATCACTTTAGTTTCCAAGTTTAATTCTTAAATAGTAAATCAATTTTAAAAATACGAAAGCTTAACAGGTAATTATAAGCATTATATTTACCATTGTCAATTTATATTCCTAAAGATAAATTCTCAAAGCATATTTGCTGATTTAGTTATATACAAATGTTGTTGAACCTTACAGAAACATCGGCAAGATTTTCCAATCAAATACGCTAAAATTATTAGTTTTACCGATGTTTGTGGTAAATATCCTGCGGCGTAAAATTGATAAATGGAATCTGAGCGTGTAACGGCTTCTGAAAAGATGTTCGCATTGTGAATGAAAGAATTATTAAAAAATTTCCTCGAGTTATTTAAAATGTTTTGGGTTTGGCCTTTAAATACAATGAATAGAGCCATTTTTCATCGTTTATGTTTGAAAATATTACAT